TATTTCCAACTTTTTGAGAAAGCGCCATTACAGCCTTGCATAGTGGTTGCACCATTTTACACTCCCACCAACAGTGAATAAGAGTTCCAGTTTCTCCACAACCTTGCCAGTATTTGATGTTTGCTGTTCTGCTAAATTTTGCTATTCTTACTGGGGTGAGATGATATCTCATAGTTGTTTTGATTTGCATCTCTCTTAGAGCTAGGGATTTTGACCATTTCTTCTTATGTTTGTTTGTCATCTGAATGTCTTCTTTGGTGAAGTGTCTGTTCATATCCTGTGCACATTTTTCAATTGGGTTATTTACCTTTATCTTGTTGTGGTGCTCAAGTATTTTATAAATTCTAGATATAAGACCCTTACCTGACATGTCATCACCAAATATTTTTTTCCCAATCTGTGGCTTCCCCAGCCTGCACATCCATTCTCTGCTGATGTGCTGGTCCATTTTAGGATGATCTTCAGCAGGATCTTGCTTGCTTGTCATATAAGTGATACCGTTCAATAATTTCCACACTTCGGTCACCTTTTTTTTTGGAATGGGAATATATAGAGATATTTTCCATTGTGGTGGTAAGATTTTTTTACTTATCTATCCATTGCCTTAGACTGGACCACGTGACCAGGTGGAAATGTGTAAGTAAAATAAGACTTTGAGGCTCCACCCACCACCCTTAGCTCCCTTGGGCAGTGTGGTCTCCAGCTGCTTCTACTGCAGATAAATGGTTCACCACTGATCAGCATTTTCTAATCATTAATGCCATGAGAGCAACATAGTAGAGAGAAAGAAACAGCCAGATTGTGGAGAGATCATGATAAGACATAGCCTGACAAGGCCTTTGAGATAAATGCAAAGATAAAGCCAGAGCTGGATGATGGAAGGATGAGCTGATTTGTGACTGTTCTAAGATGTCACTTGCTGGAAGAGTGAGGAAAACAAAGGCTTCTTGCATTTCTGTTACAGAACTAAACCTGGACTTGTTGACTGAGAAGCTGTCTGAACTAATTGAGGAACTGTGTCTTGCTGTTAATCTGACTTAAGAGCTGCTGATCACTAAACCTGGAATTTCGCTGTGTGATAACATCTGCCTCCTCCACTCACTACCCTATTTCCTAGTAAACCCCACAACTGTGTAAAGTCACATCTGTGAGTTGTCTGTACTGAATACTGGACCCAGTGATTAGCAGAATTAGGAGCAGGAGCAGAGGGGGCACCATTACTTTGGTACTGGGTTGTTGGGGTGGGAGCAGTTCTCCTTTCTGGAATTAGCAGAGGTCAGACTGGGTTTTCCTGTACTACCTTTGCTTCCTTTACAGATGCTTAGCTCATGTGGCTCAGAAGCAAAATCTTCAGACTTCAATGTACTTATTAAAAATATAAATTTATGCTATGGGCTATTCTGATTGTACAGCTCTGGTACTGGGATGGAGCACAAACTTGCATTTCATTTATCACAAGTACCCTAGAAGATGCTCTGTTTAGAGATAATTCTACCGTTAAATGAAACAGGTTACAAAAGAATATATGAAATTAAAAAAAAAAAACACAACCAAACTATGCCTTCAAGAAGATTCCTGGAAGGATACAACAAAAAAGAAGCAACAAATCCTGTGGATTTTAGGAATGGCAGTAAGGAGTAGGAGAACTTCAACTTTTTCTTTATTACTATCTTGTACAGTTTGAATTTATTAGCATGAAGACACATTATTTTCTTACTAATGTTGAAAGAGCTGGTCAGTGATCTAGCTCAGATAGTTTCATCATGAATGTAAAAATGACTGCTGCTCACAGAAATCCCTGTCTTGCAGAGAAATCGATCCCTAGGAGATCCTGTGAGAATGCAGATTCTGATACAGCTGGTCTAGATTGGAGTCTGCAATCCTCTGTGTCTAACAAGCTCTTGTATATTATTGAAATGGCTGGTTCCGTCACTGTGTTTTTGTGTTGCAGACCACAGGAAATGTAAGTGATTTGAAAGAGACAACAATTTCCTATAGTCCATTCCCTAGAAGATGAAACTTGAGGCAAGCATAAAAAGGAATTGGAAATCAAATATGTTTGAGAAATATTACATACCTAGCCTGGTGAGTCACACTGAATATTCGAGTTTTATTTGCTTTTCATTCAGATGTTCCTATCAGAACTAAAATCCAAATCAGTTGCTTTTGAATTGACTGACTGTTGACAACCCCATGTTTATCAGAAGGGTCCCATATGTGACATGCTCTGGTGAGGTTTTCAGCAGTATATTATGAAGTCCTTCTTTTAAAGTACCTCTAGGTGGACTCTAACCGAGCATGTTAGCTGTTCTAAATAAAAATTTAACTTTCAGAATCTACAGCAGGCTGATCAGAAAGCAGAACTATAAGCAGAAGCTCAGAAAGAGAAAAACTGAAAAATTAAGAAGAATCACAGTTTAAGCCCAGTGCAACAACAACATAGATCTCTAAAGGAAAACAAAAAAGGTCCCAAAATAGATCTTGTGCACCAGTAAACTTGATGCTCCTTGACAGTGCATGTTACAAAGTCATCAAATATTTGCCAGAACAATCAGTTCCAACTGGACAGCACATAATAACAACATTCTAAATATCTCTGACTCTTCTGAAATTTAGCCCAGCATTAGCAGGACAGCTCAAAGCCCAGAGGGACGAGCATACTTCTGAACACATAAACCCAAATGCATTTCTACTGCCAGAGGCTTCCACAGAAGCAGGAAACCACAGAAGCTGCCCTGACCTCACTGCTGAAGGAGTCACGCTTGCTTGACTTTAGTGCAATCCTGCTGTCCTCTGACAGTGATTAAGAACATCCTGGGGGAGGCTAGACAACACTGCTTCTCTCTCACCTGCTGGGATGCAGCAGGTGAGGCCAGAAGGAAGCTCAGAGCTCAAATATCCTGAGCCCTGTGCTGAGTCACACACCCAGGACCTCCAGTACTCAGCTGCCCCAGTATGGCCTTTCAGACTTCTCACAGCTAATGCTCTTAGCAGTGAATTTCTGAGGGAGACTGGACTTCAAAGGACCCCTGAGTATAGTGTGAATCAGAGGCCATTCACCCTGATGTGCTTCAATCTTTTGAAATGACTGCTACTCTCTCCTCTAACTTCTAAACTTGGAAGCAGCAGAGGTCCAAGTTATATGGAGAAACTTGCACAGAGATCTGAATGACACCTGATTTGACCACAACAGAAGCCTTCACGTCCATCCGTGACCAGTCAGTCCTTACAATTCACTTGTCTCCAGAATTTATTTGGTTTGGGAGCAATGGGCCTCCAACATTCCATTTCCTCTTTAAGTCTCCAATTTATTTACTTTGAGAATAAATATATTTAAACAGCTTGGTTCACTTGGTTATTATTTCAGGAATGTTTCTGTTGCTATGTGCTGTCGAGTCGCTTGCAACTCACAGCAATCCTATGTACAAGAGCCCTAAACCCTACTCTATCCTATGCCAACCTCACCATCTCCGACACACTCACTCTCACCACCTCAATAACAGAATCGATCCATCTCATTGTAGGTCTTCCTCTCCTGCACCGTCCCTCCACTCTCCCAAACATGATGTCCCTCTCCAAGGACCAGTCCCTCCTTGCAACATTCCCAAAATATGTCAGACGAAGCTTCAGAATCCTTGACTCCAAGGAGCAGCCTGGCTTCCCCCTCTCCAGGACAAATCTGTTTGTTCTCCTAGCAGTCCATGGTATACTCAACACTCTTCTCCAACACCACAGCTCAAAGGCGTCAATTCTCTTTCTATCATCCCTAGCCACTGTCCAGCTCTCTGAGACATAGCATCGGCGCACCTTAGTCTTCAGCCTAATGTTGTTGCTCTTCAGTACTCTGGAGAGGTCCTTGACAGGAATACTTGAATGAAACGGAGACCTGGGTCTAGTACAGTAAGTGCTACGAACACCTGATTAGCATGACTCAAGCTCAGCTTCTCCGTGACCAGCAGGGGATAGTAGGCTGTTCATAGGGCTGTGGCCTCTGGCACTGTGCAGACTTAAGGACTTTCCCACTGCATTCAGAGTGGTGACAAAAGAACCCAAGTAAATTGTTAATAGTCATCTGACAAACACACATCCCTGGTGTTGACTCTCTGTCAAATATCCTTCATCTCATGTACTCAGTGCTCAAGAATGCTATGTGGGAAGTCCACAATCAGCTCCGAGCCCCCATATAATACTACTTATCAAAATCTTCAGCAACCACTAAGTTGGATTATCTTCTTGTTGCACTCCTGTAGGCACCCACCCTCATCCTAATGCATTCATTTTAAAGAATTTAGAAGCTAGCTTCCGATCTATATTGAGAACCATTTCTTCCTCTATTTTTATATGAAGCACTTTAATTGCTACTAACATCACTGAAGTTAGCATACACACAGGAAGGAGGTTGGACCTTTAAATCATGTAGCCCCAAAGGCAAAATATCTTTAAAAAGCAGATAGTAGGGGCAATAGTTAAAAGGGGACTTGAACAAAGATGTGCTTTTAGGGTCTGTTTAAAGTTCTGCCCAGGTGATCACTACAGGAAATTAAGCTTTCACCCACCATCAAAAATAGAACGACCTATGTGATTCTTACTACTTTTCTGCAGTTAGGTGCGGTGCAGGATGTTGGGGGTGGGTTCAGGGTGGTGGGTTGGCAAAATGGAACATGTTAATGATGATGTTAATGCCCACTCCCATTACTGAGCCGGGAAAGAAATGGAAGTGAGCCTGGCCAGGAACAAGAAAACCACCCAAACGAGGAAGCCCTGCCTTGGAATGAAAGGCAGGCCTGACAGGGCACACAGCCGCCCATGATGACTGAGCGCGGCCGAGGGCACGTGGTTCTGCCCAGGAGTTGCAGCTGCAAAGCTGAGGTCTCCCGAACCTCCCCACTGCCCTTGGACATGTTCTCTAGTCAGCCGCTTGCCCAGCCCTGCAGCAGTCTCAGCGGACTACCTTGAGCTCCCAGGGAGAGAACACACAAGGACAGGAAAGTTTACGTTACCTTTTTGCTTATTTAGGAAGAGCAGAGGGGGTGCTGCGCCAGGCACTCGAGGCCCAGAGGCCTTAGCAGCTGCAGAGCTGGGGCTGCAACTCTCGGCTTGCATGGGTCTCGGCTGCGACGCGAGCCCCTCGGCCACGGCTTGGTCCCTGGAAGGTAGCTCAGGGTCGGGCCTGGGGACAGCTGAGGGGTCAGGCCCCACATGGCCCCGCCGGGTGGGGGCACGCTCTTCGGCCCGGGCAGCGGTCTCCTCTCGGATGGCGTCCAGAGCAGCCGGCTTCATGGGGGGCGAGTCCTGCTCCCTCTTGGGGCTCTCCTCTGAGGCCGAGGAGGCATCGCACGACTCAATGATGAGCTCGCTGTCCAGCTCGGCCTCACGTTCCTCCCTGAGGATGCTGTACTGGATGGACGGCGAGGCAGGTGAGGGTGGTGGGCCGCCCACGTGGCCAAAGGTCACGTAGCCCGAAGGCAGGGAATCATCGGCCGCCAGCGGGTCCTCGGACACCAACTCGATCTCTGAGTCCCCTGACTCTGCGCTGCTGGCCTCATGGTCCAGGGGGCTGGGGATGGTCGGCAGTCCAGATCTGGCCTTGGCCCCGGGTCTGTCGGCCACCTGGCCAGTGGGCCGTGGGCTCTCTGCGGTTTCATATGATAGCCCCTTCGCTTCTTTAATGGCAGTGATCAACTCGTCCTCAGAGACGCTGCATTTCCCCTGGGATTCTGCAGCAGATGGTTCTGTCGTCCCACAGAAGACAGCAGAGCCAGGGAGGCACACACACGGACAGACAGATGGACAGGGAGAGAAGAAATAAAACAAACTTGCATTAGGGGAGGTGTTTTTGTCAATGCTTGAGAAACACATAATCTCATTAGCACAGAAAGATCTGTTTCCAGGGCTATGTTGGAAGACAGGCCACCTGAACTAAAAGGCTAATTACTTTTGTGGCCCAATTAATCAGTGTTTTGCATACCTATCTATCTTAGTCTAGCTATTTTTAAAAGTGACCCAGTAATACCTTAGGAAGAGAACATTGGTGGTTTTTCTGCCTCAAAGTGGCAAGGATTCTAGAAGTCATTGCTTAGTTTCTGATTCATTCCTTTATTGGGGTGTTTCAATTACACAGAGGGGCCTTTATGTAATCTCATGTATCCAAACTAAAAACAAAACCCCACAACCACAGGCTACCAAGTCAATTTTGACTCATCGTGACCTAAGGACAGATGAGAATGAAGCAGTTTGCCATATGTTTCTCATGTGAAGCACAGTACAAACAGACCCATGGCTGACTCAAAGGAGGAAACTGCCCATCTTTCTCTGTCTGCACTGCTGGTGGATAAGAACTCCCAGAGAGATACGACCTTCGAGTTAGAAGCTCAGTTTCCTATGGACTAGGCCACCAGAGCTTCCTTCCTTCTATGGGATGTCTACATTTTCTCTATGTCTATGGACTGCTAAGAGAACAACCCGGTTCATCGTAGGGAGGATGAAACCAGGCTGCCCCTTAGAGACAAGGATTCTGAAGCTTCGTCTGACATACTTTGGACCTGTTGCAAGGAGGGGCCAGTCCTTGGAGAGGGACATCATGCTTGGGAAGGTGGAGGAAGAGCGCAAGAGAAAAAGACCCTCGGTTAAGATGGATTGATTCATTGACTGAGGTAATAGGGTGTGTAAGAGACAATAAGGTTGGCACAGGACAGAGCAGGGCTTAGGGCTTTTGTGCATAAGGTTGTTATGAGTCACAGGTGACTCAATGACACATAACAACAACAACAACATACTCTAATTAGATCCATTAGTATCAACAACAGTATCGAAAAAGAACCCATTATTCTTTATCCACTGTTCTTTTCTGACTCCTCATTGACTACTAAGACAAAGACAATTCTGTATATATATTTAATTCTGGGCTTTACATTTCCTGTAAGAATTGACATTTTTATGTTTTCATTTATTTATCGTTTTTTAATGTAAAACACAACTAGGTGGAGCACTGTGAAAGATTTTGTTTTGCCAATGCCACCAGGCAGGCTGCAGAGATTACCAGGCTGCAGAAGCCTGCAGGCCTTCCCAAGGTGGTAGCCCACTGCCATTCTTTCCCTTTCTCTGCAGCCCCTGCTGAGAGGAACAAAGCCTGGGAGTCATCCCCAGGGACCTGGAAGAATGCCTGTCTTCTGCCTGATGTTTATCCAGATGGTCTGTAAGCCATACTGGCAGTCTTGCTGAGATTTCTCTGCCTTGAATGAGACTACCTGGGATCACCATGACAACAGTGTTCAGGAGCTTGGTTTTCCCTTACCACACAGCAGGGCCTTATTTCAGAATATTCTAGACAATGTTCTCTAGCCCTTTTATGAACAAGAACTACTTGTCATTTCTCCAGAGCTTTGAGATCACTCAGGAGATGTGACTGGGTAGAATGACTAGGTAATCTGTTGCTTTGATTGTGAGACAACCCCAGTTAAAACATTTTAGACTGTTCTACAGAGCAGAATTGATTTATTCCTTACCCACATATCATTCACTCATCTATTATTTATTAAGAATCAACTCTGTGTGAGGCCCTCTTATTAGCACTTGGGAAATAGTAGTGAATGGAATATATTAAAAAGCCCTTGCTATATTCTAATAAGGGAGCTCTGATGGCCTAGTGGGTAAGGACTTGTACTGCCAACTCAAAGGCACATGATTCTAATCCACTAGCTGCTTTTCAGAAGAAAGATGAGTATACTTCTCTCCTATGATTTAAAGACTCTGAAACCCTCTGGAGCTAAGAGTAAGTCCCAACTCAACAGCACACAACAACCACCGTATATTCTAATAAGAGAGCTCTACTTGCCTTGTGGTAAGGAGCTGTGCTACTGCTCTGCAGTAGACGGTTGAAAAATCTCCTCCTGTGAGATTTACAGCTTCTGAAAACCCACTGGAGGGTCAGCCAAGAGTCATTTCCGACTCAGAACAACTAGAATGTATTATAGCAGGAGTGGAGTATATCATGGCAACACAATACATACTAAATCACGAAATTACATAGAATAAGGGTAAGGAAAAAGTACAGAGCAGAGTAAAGGAATTAGGACCGGGGCAGTGGAGTTAGTACAGGTTTACACTTTAAAAGAAGAAATGAAGATAGGCTTCCTGGAGAAGCTTTTCACAGGAAACTCACATGAAGGGGAAGGAATAAACAATGTAAAGGCCCAGTGCTGGGAGCTGTAATGACTACTAGCTATTGTAAGGAAATCAATGTGCCTGGAGCAAGTGAACAAGAGAACAAGACAGGAGTCAGGGACACCAGTGTGTTTAAAAAGATTTATTGCATGACACTAATCCTTATTTTTCTATAAAGGTTAGTTCCTTAACAAGAATTCTTAGCATAGGATTCTTTGCTATAACTGAATCTATAATTGTATCTATAAAGATACAAAAACTACATTTCTGAATGATTGTTTAGAACAAAGAGGAAGCAGCTGAAGAATAAAGACTAGACTACAGTAAGAAATGATCTAAAACTCGAGAGAATTGTCAGCAGTAGCCCTGCCACAGCTCTATTTGCTGGATGCCAGGCACATAGCACCACCAAGATGGGAACATCTGGATGTGGCTTCTGAATTTTTATGATATTTGAAAGCATACCAAAGTGCTACGTGCACAATTTATTAAGGAACTAACCTCTACAAAAACTAAAAAGATTGTAGGCCTGCAACAGATTTTTTTAAAACACTCATGTCTCTGACACCTCTCCTATTATTCTTGCTCACTTTGCCACAGACACAATGACCTCCTGGCAATACTTGGAGATCACAACATCTCCCAGCTCTGGGTCTTTGCAATATATGGATACACCTAAACATGAAACACACACCTAGAGACACAAATCCTCACAACTGGACTTAGAAAGAAGATCACAATAGATGGAGAAAAGATTGGGATTGTGAAAGACTTCATTTTACTTGCATGGAAGCAGCAGTCAAGAAATCAAAAGAAGAGCTACATTGGGCAAATCTGCTATTAAAGGCATCTTTGAAGTGCTGAAGATCAAGGGTGTCACTTTAAAGATTAAAGGTGCACCTGATCCAAGCCAGGAACTTTTCAATTACTTCATATGCATGTGAAAGTTGGACAATGAATAAGATCAAAGAAGAAAGTATACCCTTAAACTGCAATGTTAGCAAAGAATACGGAATAAACCTGTTGGACAAAGCATAGCTAGGGTTCTTGCTGTTGCCTTCCCTGGTGTTCTATCCTAGGTTCTCTTACCACTCCACCTTCTATCTCAAGGTGACTTCACTCACATCAGCCATCAATAAGTCTTAAATTACCATCACTATGTTGAAGTACTTGAGTGGCAAAAATGACTAAGTCCTAGATTATTAACCAAAAGGTTAGTGATTCACACTTACCCAGATGTACCTCTGACCTCTGAAGATAGACTAATCAATCAATCTGCTTCTGAAAGGTCTCAGAACTCTACAAAGCAGTTTTTCTCTACACTCATGCAGTTTCCGTGAATGTGAATCCATTTGACAGCAACTAACAATAACAACAACATGCTGCTGATTCACAACTTTGCTTCCCTAAGTAGTTGTTGCTGCTGTTGACATACCATAGAGATGCTGTGTACAATAGCTCTGAACTTGCCCTAGCCAGAGCCAAGAATGGGCTAATGCAACTGTACAATATAAAATATTGGAGGGACTTAAAAGAGATAATGGTGGAAGTTGCATTTGAATTAGCTGTTTATTGTTTAAAAATTATTTTTGAAATATAAATAGATTTTTGAAATGCAGAAAAAGCCAACAGAGGAGCAGACCACATGAGCAAAGATATGGAGTGTGTTCAGAGAGCAGAAAAGTCAGAAGTTTAACTAGAGTACTGGGTGGGGTGGTTCAGGGTGGTGCAAATAGGTATTAGCAGGAAAGGTAAATAGGCCTCTGTCTATGGAAGGCCTTGGAAACTGGTTTCAGAATGAATACTTTACCAAGACAGGCAGTGATGGGTCCTGAAAGTTAGGAGGAAAACAAAAGGAAAGAGAACAAACCATTAAGAGGACACTGCCCTTCTTGACAGGAGGAATGATAATAAGTAAAGGGTGGTTGTGCTGAAAGGATGAAAAGGAGAGGAAAACTCAAGACACTGAAGAGAGGCAAACAACAGATATGGGCTCTTATCCATGTGGTAAGGTCAGAAAAGGATGAGTTATAAATGTCCTCAGAATGGTGAGCCTAGGTGAGTGAGATACTAGGCAGGAGCAGAAGCTGGTTTGAAGAGTGAGGGGATGAACATTTTATCTTGGATGTTTCTTCTCTTCCTGTGACACACATCCTCCAAATCTCTCACACTGAAAGCCTCTGACCACCCAAACTGTTAGGACCACTTAGGCTCCTGCTTGTACAACATTCCCAGAAGAACCACCTATTAGGCAGGCAGAGCATGGGCTCAGAGGGCTACAAGTGGTCATTCATGGCAGCCCATCTTGTATGCTGGCTGGCCTGATGCTGCATTTGAATTAGGGCAGGAGATGAACTGGTTGCCACTCATTCTGTACAACCAGCAGCTCTGGGCAGCTTTCTGTTGTGTGTTACGATTTGGTGAATATCTGCTTCTTCATCTACTGTCACTCTTCCTAAGCCAAGACTGAAGGCACCACACAGGCAGGGGAAATCCAAGTTCTTTTAGACCCAATATATCATACAGGGTCTGACACACAGTACATATTCAATAGAACTCATATGAAAGCTAGCTCAAGGCTTTAGTTCTCAATCTTTGATGTATGTGACTCTAAACTCCTCTTGCAGTGTGTGATACAGGATGAAGAGGTCTGGTCTAGACATTTGCATTTTGTGACTTCAAAAGTAATTTTAATATTCACCTCCAGTTGAAATTTCTAGCGTTAGCCAATAAAAAATACAGGATGCCTAGAAACGTGTAGTTAGACAATATCTAATTTTAGCTTAAGTATATCCCATGAAATGTTTGTCTTTTATTTGACAAAACAGCTTCCAGTTGAAAAATGCCTATTTTAGAGCATTCAGAAAAGATGGTTACAATTTTTTTCTTTATTTATTCATGAGAAAGGATATCAGACAGCTGTGGGGTGTGGGCGGAAACGGCCTGATGAGTTTCACTGTGGGTAAGTGAAGGAGCCACGTTAGAAATAATCCATACTCAGTAAGAGTCAAAGGGGACTCAGGGGCACCTGGAGACACTATCTTCAGCTCTTCATGGGAACTAAAAGTCTCACAAAATATTTGGAGGAATCTGGGCAACTCGATGGCACATAAAAATAACAACAACATCCTTATTTTACATTTTATGGATCTGTTGCTAAAAGAGTAGTCATTATATATAAAGATTGACAAAGCAAAGTTATGGTCAACTAAAATCATCAAGTAGAAAACCTCATATGTTAGAACTGTCACCTGTGGAGATGTGTCTGTGGATGAAAATAATTATGATGTGTATTTAATGAGGATAAATGGAAAAATGAACATGGGTCAGTTAAGCAAATTGCAGATGCTAGAACCCAAGTAAAGCACATGTAAAAGTAAGACATGTAAAGGCAGGAGGAGGTTGGGATATGAAGGTTGTATCTGTTCTTCCCACTGGGTCTCAGATGCAACGGGAGAGGGTAGAGTGCGGACACTCCTGCTGCCTCTCTGCTACTCAGCATACAGCAGGCCTCTTTCATGCTTAAGAGAATGTGTCCAAATGTGGCTTAGCATTTTGTCTTGAGCCAGAATAGAAAACTTAAGATGAAAAAAAAAAAAAAGATTACAACTTACTGGATTCCAAACTTTGTCAGCCAAGTAAATTTTTTAAAATATTAATAAGTCTATTGGAAAAAAACACAATTACATGGAGAACTCAAATAAAATTAAAAGATCAATATGAAAATGCTGAGTTGAAAGGGAGGAGTGCCCATCGTTCAGGATTTTCTTCTGTCTAATCCTCCCCACAGCCTGTAACATACACCGGTGTTCCCACTCCCAATCTTAGAGCTCAGAACATTAAATGTTCTCTTCGCAGAAGCTCAAGAGAGAAGAGTGTGGGTGCTCTCCCCACGATGCCTCCGGAAGACCACTAGGTCTGGGAAGGGGAGCTTGTCCAGAAGCAAGTAACACTCCTGTCTGTGATCTGAACAGAAAGGCCAGATGAGGAGTCCAAGGTCTTAAATGTACCTTAAATCATACCTTTCCCCTCAAAGAAAGGAAAAAAAAATCATAGAACTTTCAGGGAAACTGCAGACCTCAATATTTGTGCAAAGGGTTACTGGGGACAGGAAGAGGAGTATGTTAATTAAATTGGTTAAACTGTTCCAAGGTACTGGGGAGCATCGATATCAGTCTGGAGACTAAGGTGCACCTGATACAGGCCATGGTCTTCACAATTACTTGCTATGCATCAGAAAGCTGGACAATGACTAGGGATGATAGAGAGTTGATGCCTTTGAGCTGTGGTGCTGGAGAAGAGTATTGAATGTACCATGGACTGCTAGGAGAACAAACAAGTTTGTCCTGGAGAGGGTGAAGCCAGTCTGCTCCTTGAAGGTAAGGATTCTGATGCTCCATCTCACATACTATGGACATATTACAAGGTGGGATCAGTCCTTGGAGAGGGACATCATGCTTGGAAGGGTAGAGGGACGCGGAGGAGAGGAAGACCCTCGATGAGATGGATTGATTCAGTGACTGGGGTTACGGGGATAGGTGTGTCAGAGACAATAAGATTGGCAATGGATAAAGCAGGGTTTAGGACTGCTGTACATAAGGTCGACATGAGTCGTAAGCAACTCAACGGCACATAACAACAACAACAATGACAATTTTAAGGAAGTCATATAATGAAGTATTTTGAGTGTCAATTCATTAACATGTGTTTTAAGATGTTCCATGCGCCTACCTTCCCAAGGCAGGCCACACCAGCTCCTTTACCTGTTCCAGAAGACGGGGGCGTTACAGATCCTGGACTGTCATCTTCAGGCTCTGAGACAGTGACAGTGGGGACCGTGTCGGGACTGGGCTTCAGGCAGACGTCTTGCTTCTCAGGGGTCTGCTCCTGGGTAGCAGTCTCAATAGAAGGTTCAATCTCAGTCAGCGTGATTTTGACGGGGGCTGTGACCACAGGGGCGCTGTGCTGTTCTTCAGGAAGATCATCTATATAAGGCGCAAACGTTGACTCCTCAAATAAGTGGTCCTTAATGATCTTTCCCTCCACAGGAGCTGGTTTCTCAGGTTCACGGACCCCTTCAGAATTTGTTGAGTTTTCAGTCTCCTTATTCTTAAAATCTAAGTTTTTAGCCTCTGTCATGGGGTGACATTGCCCCTGATCCTTCACCTCTTCTGGTTCTGGCCTGGTTATATCAATGTATTTATAGGCTTCTCCTTTCATCTGGTCCAGAGGATCAGCTAAGATCTTGTTCACTTCCATAGAATCAGCAGGAGTCATCTCTATCCCGGAATCAGAACCAAATAGCCCGTGAGGCTCTGTGCCATGAACATCTGGCAAAGGGGGTCCAGGTGTACTCAATTCTTCAGGGCTCTCTGAGCTGTTGACGTGACCATTTTCCTTCTGAAGAATTCCAGTGAAATATGTAGTATCCACCTGCGGTGAGTAACTGATGTCAGAAATAAGAGATGTGTAACAAGTTCCTTCCTCATTGGATGCTGTTGAAAAGGTATGATCCATGGCACGGGGGGCATCTGCCATATCTACAAAGGAAAAACAGCACACAGTGAGTACGAGCCTGGCTTCAGTTCCCTGTCTAATCCTCTCATGGCTCATCCCCAAACTGCGGATGCGTGCCCCTTCCCCCATGTCCTCCCCACTCCTAGAGAGACTCGGCGTTCTCTTGGAGCACGGGTATGTTAAATTGCCTTGCCTCTCTGATAGTGCACAGCACATGGAATTTTCCCCATGAGCAAGCCACAGAAGCCCACACAAGCTGCTATGCCCTGATAAATTGAGGAGAGAGAGTCCAGGGGATGAGGAAATTGATTTTCAGCATCAACTACCTCAGTGTACAGTATTTTAATCTCTTTCAGTGTTACTAAAGAGAAAATGCTCTTTGCATCAAAAGTATGCTTAGCTCTTTAAGACTGCAATGTAGGATAATTTAGGTTTGTAAATGCAATGGGCGGATGGAAGACTAGGAGTAGAGAGGGAGCCTACTTTTGGATACTCACAGAACTGCAATTCAAAAGGCCTCAAGAGACCCTCTGGGACTACTGTCCCTTTCTGCATTGACCATCAGTTCTTCATTTAAACGTTTTCAAAGGAAGAAGCTCTAGTTTCCTGATACCAAAGTAGTTTCACCTTACTAGCACACTTCTTTAATTACCCATTTCTCTTATTTTTGTTTCTCTTCTTTCACCCCTTTACTGACCACTCTCCTTCTTCTTGTTGTTGAGTACTGTACAGTCAGAACTGCCCCACTGGAGGGTTTTCAGAGGCAGTTAATTACACGGGAGGACATTGCCCATCCTCCCATGGAGCAGCTGGTGCCTTGAACCCTACGCCACTGAGAATGCAGTACAGCATCTTGCCACTTAGCCACCAGCGCTCCCATTAGTCATCTTCAACAACCACTGTTGGTACTGGAGGCAAAACAAGTTCCTAAGGCTGAATATGTTCCAATTGGTTTTCAGTCTACTAGTAAACTAGACAAACAAACAAACAAAAACCCCCTCATTCATAGTGAGCAGAAAGGAAAACAATCTATTGTTCTTCTTTGCTGTGAAACACTGTTATGTTATTTTTTTTGTTATGTGCCATGGAGTCAGAACTGGCTCAAAGCTGACATTCCAAGAGGGTTTTCAGAGACTGTAAATCACATGGGAGGAGACTGTCTATCTTTCTTCCATGGAGTTGCTAGTAGATTTGAATCTCCTACCTTTGGGTTGGCAGTGAAAATTCTTATCCACTAGGCAACAGGAGAAGAAACTAACATTTATTGAGGTTTTACTAGATGTTAAGCAGTAAAGGAATCTTCCCTATTACTTCAAGAATTTGATGAAATAAGTAAGCCCAATGTTCACAACTTAACATACAAGCATCATTCTCTCTCTCTCTCTCACACACACACACACACAAAGAATATCCAGAATAACAACCCTTACAACATGTCCCCAAAATATCCCTGACTAGTGCGCCGATCGATATAAAAGTAATACAAAGCCATTGTAGTTAGGTGCCGTCGAGTCAATTCAGACTCATAGTGACCCCACGAACTGTTCGATAGGGTTTCTTGGCCTCAGATTGCCTCCTCTATCTTCTGTAGAGCTGATGGGTGAAGTCAAGATTCAAAGTGATATAAGATATTAATAGCTAACATCTGAGTGCTTATGTGTCACACATACAGCGTTAAGCTTTTTATTAATATTGACTTACTGGGTTATCAAAGCTAACTTCTTTTTTTGTTGTTAGGTGGCATTTGGTCAACTGAAACTCACAGAAGCTCTGAATAACTGATTAGAACCTTGCACTATCTTCACAATCTCTGGCATACTCAAATCCACGACAGCAGTCACTATGTCAATTCCCTTCATCAAGGATTTCCTCTTATTCAATGACTATCTACCTTTCTCACCATGACGTCCTCTCCTGACAACATCCCCAGAGTAGGTCAGATGAAGTTTTACCATCGCTGCCTCGACGGAGCATTTTGGATGCACTTCCTCCCAGATGGACCTGTTTGTTCTTTTGGCAGTCCCTGGTACAGTCACTATTATTTGCCAACACAAGTGAAGGTCTCCTTTCTTCTTAAATCTTCCTTATTCATTGTCTAGCTTTCAGATGCATATGAAGCCACTGAAAATCCATAGTCTGAACCAGGCACATCTTAGTCTTGTTCTTTAGTACTTTGGAGAGGTCCTTAATAGCAGATTTCCTAAATGCAACTTGCCTTTTGATTTTTTTTAACCACTGCTACCATGGGCAGCAACTGTGGACCCAAGTAAAATGAAATCTTTGACAACTTTAGTATTTTTGCCATTTATCATGACATTGCCTAGTGGTCCAGTAGTAAGGATTTTTGTTTTCTTGATGTTGAGATGTAATTCATATTGAAGGCTATTGTCTTTAATCTTATTAATAAGTATTTCAAGTACTCTTCACTTTCTGCAAGCAAGGTGGTGTCATCTGCATAACATAGGCTGTTGAATAGTCTTCTTCTAATCCTGATACTGCATTCTACTTCATATATGCCAGCTTTCTGAATGATTTTCTCAGCACACAGATTGAATGTATACAGAAAAACGGTACAACCCTAACACACATCTTTCCTGATTTTAAAGTATGTGGTGCTCCCGTGCTTTGTATGTATATATAGCTTTAGCATGAGAACTATAAAGTGTTCTGGATGCCATCTTCTTAATGCTATCCAGACTTCGTTATGATCCACATAGTTGGAAGTCTCTTCATAGTTAATAAAACACAAGTAAACCCGCTTCTGGTATTCTCTGCTAAAATTCATCTAACATAAGCAATGATATATCTCATTTCAGAATCTGTTCTGAATCCCCTTTGAATTTCTGGCACAGTTCCCTGCTGCTGTTCCAGCCATTTTTAAATAACTTTGAGCAAGATTTTACTTGCATGTCATATTAATGTTGTGTTGCTAACCCAAAGGCTGTCAGTTCAAGTCCGATAATGGCTCTGTGGGAGAAAAAGGGCAGAAGATGGATAGAGGGGATGGGCGGGCACCACGAGTCAGAACCAACTAGAGCGCAGTGAGTGAGTGGCACTACTATGTCATCCTCCACAAGGAAGTGGGGGAAATTTTGCCCATGGCTATAAATCGTCTGAGGGCTGAAAAGTGAGGATGGAGGTGCTCTCCTGGAGAACACACCACATACAGGAGGTAGTTTCTAGAGATATGTCAGTTGTTCTAATTTATCAGTCAATGTTTCCTTGTCATGGGGCCACCAAAAAACTCCTGCCTTTATCATCAATACTTGGAAGTTTATTCCATTCAAGTGTCATATCTGGTATATATTATGTATGCCCATGTTATCATCTAACTACTACTAACTCATCCCCTCCTGTAGTTTGAGCCTCATTTCTTACATATGATATTACGTATAAGGCATCTCTGGTGGCCTAGTCGTAAAGAGTTGCACTGCCAACTCAAATGTACATGATTCAAATCCACCAGCTGCTCCATGGGAGAAAGATAGATAATTTCCTTCTGTTCAGTTTACTGCCTCTGAAAACCTGTGGGAGGTTTATCTGTGAGTTAGGTCTGACTCTATGGCACACAAGAAAAACATATTGTACATAAGGGAACTCTACTGGCCTAGTGGCAAGGAGCAGTGCCAACCCAAAGGTACACTGTTTAAAGCTCCATGAGAGAAACAGGAGCAATCTCCTCTCTTACAACTTCTGAAAACTCTCTGGAGGGTCAGTTCTGTATTTGTTCTTAAAAACAACGTATTTGAATGTTATAAATAAACTAGTAGAAAATTTTAAAAAACAATGAACAAACTGTACATAGGCAATATCTAATAAAAAAGGAATAAAGAATGGATTACACAATCAATCAACCCTTGAATATATTCTATGTAGTTACTGAGAACAAATAAAGATTAATTAATGCAAGCTACAATGTTTTAAAATTGAGAATATTTTTAAATTGTCATGTAAAAGAATTGTGTAGTAATTTGAGTTGTCTAACAATGAAAGTTTGGGTTTTTTTAATACTTTGACCAAGAATCTTTTGTCCAAACCAAGAAGGAAACACTGTTTGGCTCAAAATTAAGAATGGTGTGCATCAGGTTTGTATCCTTTCTCCATACTAATTCAATGTGTACAACTGCTTTAAACAAGGGGACGGGATTTAGACATCTGTTCATAGGGCCACTATGGGTTGTACTTGACTCGATGGCACCTAACAACAACAAAAACATTCAATCTGTATAATGAACACATCATTTGAGAAGCTGGATTCTATGAAGAAGAATGTGGTATCAGAACCAAAGGAAGACTCATCAACACCCTGTGTTACACAGATGGCACAACTTTACTTGCTGAAAGAGGACTTAAAGTGGTTGCTGCAGAAGATCAAAGACTATAGTCTTCAATATAGATTTCATCTCAACATCAAGAAAACAAAAATCCTCACCTTTGGACTGGTAAATAACATAGAAGATGAAAAAAAGGATTGAAATTGTCAACGATTTAATCTTCCTGGGATCCACAATAAATTCCCTGAGTACCAGCAGCCAGGAGTTAAGGAGACTATTGCATTGGGAAAGTATACCGTCATGGACATCTCCAAATTACTGAGGAGCAATGATGTCAGTTTGAAGACTAAGGTGCACCTGATACAGGCCATAGTGTTTTTAATGATTTGATATACACTGGAAGACTGGACAATAAGGATGACAAAGGAAGAATCCATACCTTTATGCTGGGGTGTTGGAGAAGAATATTGAATATCCACGGACTGCCAAAAGAAAAAATAGATAGGTTTTGGAGAAAGTGCAGCCTGAATGCTACTTGGAAGCAAAGGGACAAACCTTTGTCTCACATGCCTGGAACAAGAGTATGTGTAATCATGATGGACACTTGGACAGAGAGAAGTTCAGTGTCTGTCTATGTCAGGACCATGGCAAGAACCAATACTGAGGTAAGTGGATAACTGTAAAAGTTCTTTCCAATTTTCTATTATATTGTACAGAGTGGCTGACATTATACACAGATGCAACTTCCT